ATATTATCACAGATGGTATGGATCTAGAAAGGTAAGATCATGTATTACAAATTTGCTAACTTTCTTTTAAAATTTTACAGTGGATTAGATGTACTTGAACGTTTGATAAAATGTCACATCAGAAGCTCTTTATAAAAACGGTATCTGTTGGAGCAGGTGACAAGCTAGTTAAATAGGTGAGCAGATAAGACCCAAAAAGTCCTCTAAAAATGGTCGAGGTGGCAAGTTAAGTACTACAGGCTAATTTTACTAATTTTGGAAAGTAAGGATCTTGCATATTTCACAAACCAAAATTACCCAGAATCCCTTTGGGTTGGCTCTTGTTGTCCATCCATCACTGTACTTGTAACAGTTGTAAATATGTTAGGCTACATCTATTAACTGCCAGTATAATCAACATATATGTTCTTAGTACAAGGCAAAATGTAATAAGTTCTATAACAAAGCCAAAGGAAATGCTAAACATGTGACTGTAAGTAAATAGATTATCAATAGTTTTCAAAAATACCCTCTATAATTATTGTTTTAAAATAACCCTCTTTAATACTGCTAACTTATAAGTTAAAGAAATGAATGAAAAGTTGTTTGTATAATGATTTATTGGCCCCTCAATATTAAAACGGAATACCCAAATAATAAAATAGCAGCCACTTTGATGATGTCGTTTGAACATGTTCTTACAAGTACAGACAGTATCAATGTCATGAACACTAACAATTGTATCACTTGCAAAGGCAAAAATTGACCTTTATCTGTCAAAGAAAATTGCTGCCCAAAGGCTTACTTACGAAGAGGATATACATGCAATGAATGCAAAATGCAACAGATTGTGCTATCAAACCTACACATCTCAAAGAAACACTGATGTTTATAAGTGAAAAATATAGCCAAATCTACCCATGATAAGGCAGCAAGAACTGTTTACTTAGACTTTAAGGAAAAGCTCGAGAGTGGAATAGTGGTTCTTTCTGAAATATGTAAGCACTACAAGGAATATCTGGTCAATTGGGCAGGGGTCCTAACACTGCCAAACTAACCAGATCATTTTTCATCAAGGAAAAGTTGAACAAAATATTTGGTGACAAATATCATTTTACAGTCAGAAATGATTGCCAGATATTATGTGCTCAAGCACAATTTTGGTAGGACATCTGCTCCAAAAAATTCAGGAATTAATAGAATCTGATATCGACCCAGAACTGCTTGAGGATCATTGTGATAATGAGGATGAAATACTTCACAAAGCTGTCACCATACTCCACAATTACAACATGAATATGGTAGCTGAAACCTTATCAACACTCTAAATTCATATGGGATGTGTGCTAGCTATGATGAAGTCAGAATATTTCAAACAGCTGCTGCAGAAAATCAGATATCACAAGCAGATAAAAGAGTATGTACCACTGGGTGTTGATTTGAGGATGGCAGGAGGTGCTCTGATTCGAAAGGGGGTGTACAATGTGGATATAAATGGTTGGAAGATGAACACCATCAGAGTGATGGGTTGATAGATGTTGTCAATCATCTTTGTGATGTACAAAAGATGATCTCAGAGAATGACCGTGTCTCATCACATGGTATCCATTCCCTTACAGCAACAATAGAACAGAAGCTAATCCCACTCTTGAAAGAACTGATACTTTAGGTTAACAGCAATCAACCACATTTGCATTCTGGGACAGCTTCCTGATGGCTATGCAAATCTGACTTTCCAACATCCATGCTGAGAGAGAGAGGAACTGGCAGCTTCACCTCTTCACTCACATCAACATGCTGCAATACTTTTTCGTGGTAAATTGACAGAATTACGCCTGATGGGGTATATTAGATGCTTACCTCACTGCCAGAGACAGTCGCAGGTGCATTTTCCAATGGAGAGTTTTCAGTGAAGCAAACCTCTGGAATGTTCAAAGAAACATGGTGTGATATGGGTGTGGAAATGACCATCATTAAATATAGCAAAATGACAGTGGTGTCATCAAATTGACCTGAAAAGGTTCAGCTGTTCTTTGATGAACAATCATTCATCATATTCTTGGCCGACATGCCAAGACATCACATCTTCATAGTGGTCTGGAATTGATTACTATTAAGCACCACAAGCAGCAATGACAACACAAGAGGAAGCACACACCTAGCAGATCATAAAGTACATAAAACGAAACATGACAGACCCATTTGCAGTTCACATCCACAACTACTTGTAAATGTCAGCAGTGGTCTAGTTGCTACTTCTGAAGTCAGTAATTTGTTACTCAATGCACCAGACAAGGGCCATGTAATGATGAGTGACTTTGCAAGATCCTGTCTTAATGAAGATGCAGAGAATCCCAAATGATTCTATCAGCCAGTTGCCAAGTCAGGACTGAATACATTTAAGGATAAGAAGAAACAAAGAAACAAACTTAAAGATCTTAGAAAATACTCGGCAAATTGCAGTGTCTCAAAATTGATCTACCAAATAGTCATGTCCATAAATTTGATATCAACAACTTCA